CAGACTAGGGAACAAAGTTGTATGAGAAGACATAAGAACATCCAACGTTATATGGGAAGACATAAGAACATCCAACGTTGTATGAGAAGACATAAGAACATCCAACGTTGTATGGGAAGACATAAGAACATCCAACGTTGTAGGGGAAGACATAAGAACATCCAACGTTGTACGGGAAGACATAAGAACATCCAACATTGTATGAGAAGACATAAGAACATTCAACGTTATATGGGAAGACATAAGAACATCCAACGTTATATGGGAAGACATAAGAACATCCAACGTTGTAGGGGAAGACATAAGAACATCCAACGTTATATGGGAAGACATAAGAACATCCAACGTTATATGGGAAGACATAAGAACATCCAACACTAATGGGAAGACATAAGAACATCCAACATTGTACGGGAAGACATAAGAACATCCAACATTGTATGAGAAGACATAAGAACATCCAACGTTGTATAGGAAGACATAAGAACATCCAGCGTTATATGGGAAGACATAAGAACATCCAACGTTGTAGGGGAAGACATAAGAACATCCAATGTTATACGGGAAGACATAAGAACATCCAACATTGTATGGGAAGACATAAGAACATCCAACGTTGTACGGGAAGACATAAGAACATCCAACGTTATATGGGAAGACATAAGAACATCCAACATTATATGGGAAGACATAAGAACATCCAACATTGTATGAGAAGACATAAGAACATCCAACGTTGTATGGGAAGACATAAGAACATCCAACGTTATATGGGAAGACATAAGAACATCCAACATTATATGGGAAGACATAAGAACATCCAACATTGTACGGGAAGACATAAGAACATCCAACATTGTATGAGAAGACATAAGAACATCCAACGTTGTAGGGGAAGACATAAGAACATCCAACATTATACGGGAAGACATAAGAACATCCAATGTTGTAGGGGAAGACATAAGAACATCCAACGTTGTAGGGGAAGACATAAGAACATCCAATGTTGTATGGGAAGACATAAGAACATCCAACGTGTCAGTGTGGTGCCTCCACATCGTTCCCGGGCCCCTTTCATAGTCCACCCTTCAAACGATGAGTTCTGGTGACTGAGCCGAGCACCCGAAACGCGTCGTCCTGTATGAAGGATTTGTGGAGTCTCCTTGGTTTGGGATTTTCATTTCTATACCTTGATATCGAACTCCCCAACTAAGGAGTCGCCTGCGTGTGACAGCAGCATCATCGGAGCCTTTGCACCCCCTAGGAAGCTGGGTGCTCTTCATTGATGGTGAACCTCTGATGAGTCAAATCCACAGACCATAAATCCGTCAACAAGCAGGAAGCTCCTCCCACAGACTTTCACCAATCAGGGGTGAGATGCATGGTGTCTCCAACCAACCCGAACCCTAAACTACAAGGGGTAGCCCCTTTCCTCCTCCAATGGAAACCCTGTGCAGGGGACATGCAGGGACTGTCTCTTCCGGTGTAACACTGACCGGAGCAAAGATAACCCGTCATGGAGGAAATCTGGGGGCTGCCGTTGCTGGCCCTCCTTCTGAAACACGAGTGGCTCGGCTGTCATGCTCATCCTTGGGCTTCAATACCTTGACTCTAAGCCAGGAAATCTGCATACTTCCTCGGGGTGTGTGACTCGAGGTGCTGAAGACAGAGGATCAGCATGACAGACAGGAAATGAGCATTTTCAAGAGGAGAGTTTCTTTCCTGAGGGGGATGAAGATGACTCTTCCATGTACTGACTCGGCTCTTCTCTCACCCAGCACATCCCGACCACCCTGGAATGTCTGAGCCGCTCCACCTTACTCTGCATCTCCGCCCTGGCCGTCATCTCCTACGTCACCCCGATCTTCATCATCTCTCTGCTCCCTCTGGCCATCACCTGCTACTTCATCCAGAAGTATTTCCGAGTCGCCTCCAGGTAACTTCCTGTACAAGCAAAAGCACCTTCAGTCTGGATTTGGGCAGAGTTACATGGGGTTGGGCGGAGATGGGCAGAGTTGTTGTGGAGTTGGGAGGAGTTCGGTGTTGGGTGGTGTTGGGCGGAGTTCGGCAGGGTTGGGCGGAGTTCGGCAGGGTTGGGCGGAGTTTGGTGTTGGGTGGAGGGCTCCTCTGCCATGAATTTGATTTTATTCTCCCTCGGGTCTCATAGAGGAAATGTTCAGTGTAACCCCCATGGCGGGGGAGGGGGAGCATAGGAGTGAAGGATGAACACTGCTCAGCATGTGTGGTCAGTGGCTCAGAGGGTATTGAATCCAGGGGATCACCATGACAGGCAGACGAGTGGCCCGTGTTGTGTGACTACGCGGAGAGCAATAACGGGAGGCGCGGGGGACGCACAGCGAGGGACAGACATGACGGACGTGGATCTGAAGGATGGACATGATTTCACCTTCATTCAGGACACGGTTGGGTTCGCGGTGCTGTTTGCAGGCAGTGGGCGGAGCTTATTGGGGGTTTTGTATCTCCAGCTGCCGATCTGTCTGGAGATTAGGAATCTCTGTAATTTCTCCTTATACAGTCATGTTCTTCCCCCGGATTCCCCGGAATTCTCCAAATTGTTTATTTTCAGGAAAAGTTTTGTTTGTAAATCAAAATCTGTTTATTTCTTCCCCGAAATTCTGTGAAATCCTCTCGCAGCACGCAGAGCACGTCCGCCGATCGCAGTGTGTGCCGTACAGTGTGCTATACCCTCTGAGCCCATAGACGTGACCGCAGTCAGAGACGCTTGTTCTGATGGCAGAAGATTTAAAAATCACAATTCAAGCGCAATACACAATATAACACCAGAAGTATCGGGCTCAGGCCTTCACACGGACATGAACTCTAATGGCCCCCCAGTCTTAGTCCATAGGGTTCAGTATTGGGTAGGCTCCGCCCCTTAATGGCCCCCAGTCTAAGTCCATAGGGTTCAGTATTGGGTAGGCTCCGCCCTTTAATGGCCCCCAGTCTTAGTCCGTAGGGTTCAGTATTGGGTTGGCTCCGCCCTTTAATTGCATCCCAGTCTTAGTCCGTAGGGTTCAGTATTGGGTTGGCTCCGCCCTCTAATGGCATCCCAGTCTTAGTCCGTAGGGTTCAGTATTGGGTTGGCTCCGCCCTTTGCCGCTATAATAGCTCCACCTCTTCTGGGAAGGCGTCTACAGGTTTAGGGGTGTGTCTATGGGGATGTTGGACCATTGGTGAGGTCACTTACTGATGTTGGGGGAGGGGCTCGCAGTCTCCGCCTCTAATTCATCCCAAAGGTGTTCTATGGCGGTGAGGTATATATATCGGACTGTGTTGAAGACGCATGTGTACCCCTGGGGTTCCCCACAATACGCACTGGTAACGCGATCACAGCTACATTGCATATCTTACTATTACGCAATCATCTTGGTGGGGGAGGGAGGCGCGTTAGGCGTCACCACACGGTTTCAGGAACTTTTTACATCACTGAATATTGAGAGAACTAATCACCCAATAAGAGACGGGTTCCGTTTTATTGTCTTTTATTTAATTTATTCATTTTGAAGTAACAAGAATCACGATACGAGTGTCGCCACTAAGGATAAAAAACAATTACGATACACAGGAGGACACGAGCCATAGGTGGAATATTTCATACTAAGCGCAACATATTGGCTGACATTGATCACGTTTGTATACATTGTTGCAGCTGGAGACTTAACACTATTTATCTCTGTGTCTCTGCGTCTCTGCGTCTCTGCGTCTCTGCCTCTCTGCGTCTCTGCCTCTCTGCGTCTCTCCGTCTCTCTGTGTCTCTGTGTCTCTGCGTCTCTCTGTCTCTGCGTCTCTGTCTCTCTGCGTCTCTGCGTCTCTGCCTCTCTGCCTCTCTGCGTCTCTGCGTCTCTGCGTCTCTGTCTCTCTGCGTCTCTCTGCGTCTCTGCGTCTCTCTGCGTCTCTGCGTCTCTGCGTCTCTCTGCGTCTCTGCGTCTCTGTGTCTCTGTGTCTCTGTGTCTCTGTCTCTCTGTCTCTCTCC